TGATTAATTTAAACAAAATCATTAAGTGATGCATTTAAACATTGTACAAGCAGTCCCCAAATTACAAACATCTGACTTACACATGACTCATAGTTAAGAACAGGGGTGAGACAACAGGAAGTGAAAGAAATCTATCCATAGGAAGGGAAATTCAATCTCAAAAGAGTTATCATGGGGAAAATGTGTCTCAACTGAACCAGTCCTTGTTTCCACAATAAGCCATTTCCCCCCCAAAATCCAATTATCATAGGGAAAGAAAGTGAGGTGAAATTTTCTGAACAGGGGCACAGATAGCCAAACACACACCACAGGGGTGTTAACCCTTCTCAGTACTGTCCAGAGCTCCCCCCCCTCTGTATATGTATAGAGAGAGATCTCTATGTTCTGACTTACATGCAAATTCAACTTAAGACAAAACCTACAGAACCTATCTTGTTTTGTAACCTTGGGGACTGTCCGTATTTTTCTTGAGTGCCCTGGCTATAATTGCTTCTTGTCTCAAAAATACTGTTTTTTGTGAAGCAGAAAATGCAGCCATCTATAAACCATTCCACTTTAAACATAATGGGATTGTTTTATTAAGATTTCTATAACAGGTTTGAAAGAGCCCAGTATTAGAGAAAACTAAGGACAGCATTATGTGCAGTCAAAAGATGAGGAGGAACATAACTGGTTTGTTGGATCAACAGAGATATTTTGTACAGTGTTGTGTTAGATTTTGCTTCTCTAATTAACTCTATTTTTGACATCTCAGTACCAAAAACATTGTTTGTAAGCCCAGTACTACACAGGCCTTTCTTTATAAAATGATTTCAGAAACAGAAATAATCTATAGGGTGAAATAATGATTTGGTCATCTCAAAGCCAATGCACACCAAATACAACATAAAATTGTTTTTCTCCTAACTCTTCATTTCCATACTAATTATGGATAGGTGAGGAAGAAGATATTCTAGAAGTGATATGAGAGTGGGAAGAGTGCATAACCTTTTCCATATCTGATGATTTTTTTTCCTGGCCTTAAAGAGTAGAAATTGTCTAGCGTACCCAAAAGTAGTGTTGACCCAGCAACGAACCAGTGAGAGAAAAATGACAAGAATGGGGTGGATCTCATTAATTTTTTCCTCCTGCATTTTTTGCATCTTCAGAAAACACATGTTAGGGAGGAGGTGGTGTCTAATATAAGGAATAATTCTCATTTTTAAAATACTTCCTTGGTGGAGAAAATATTTTTTCCTTTACTGTTATTTCAGCTCCACTGTCTGCTGGTTCACTCCTGAGCACAATTCAAAGTGCTGGTTTTGGCCTATATGGTTCTGGCCCAGCTTGTTCGAACGTATCTCCCTCTACGATCCACCTAGAAGCTTACTATCATTGGGGGAGGCCCTGTTCTTGATCCCACCTCCCTTGCAAGCGCAATTGGCAGGGACGAGAGAGAGGTCCTTCTCGGTAGTGAAACACACTCCCCAGTGAAATCAGAGTTAAATCATGGCTTTGGGACCAAGCCTTCGGACAGCTGACCTAGCAGTAATTGCAATGACTTATGAGCACTGACAATTGAAAGACCTAGGACTGGAACTTTGGAATCTGATTTGGATTTGGGATTTGGGCTTGGTTGTGTTTTAATATTTTAGTGGATATTTTTATTTTTGTTGTTTTATCTAATGTTAATCTGTTTTGTATTGTTATTGTTTGCTGTTGGCATCTAATGACTGCCAGTTTGTAAGCCGCCCTGAGCCCCACCCCGGGGGGGGGGGGGGTTGAGAAGGATGAGATATAAATGTTTGAAATAAATGAAACCAATATTCTGAAGCAAGTCAAAACTAATTTCAGAGGTTAAAGTTGTTCAGTAGAATGCATTCGGTGATTCAGAAGATCAGAGCTGAAAATATTAAATTTGGATCTGAAATTTTGTAGGAAAAACATTTCTTTGGGAACAGAGTGAGAATTTACAAATTCACCATACAAGAAGATGACAATCTCAACCTCACATTACATTTTTAATATCTTTACTTGCCTAATATCCAGTTTGTATCTGTTGATCCTGGAAGCTCTGAAGTTAACTAGTTGATACTCTAATCTATGCAATTATTTGGTAAGCTTATTTTGTTTTCAGACTGCAACTTTACACAATCCTATTTTGAAGCTTTCAGGAAATAAGAGTTTTCAGGAAGCCTATGCTAGAAGCAATAATACATGTAGCAAATCTTTCCACTTGATAATGCATGACTAGTGCTCTTCCTAAGTGTTGCAAACAGACTTGGGCCCTGGCCCAGAGAACAGCATTGCTTTTGCGTTGCCAGTTGGAACTGGAAGAGGAGTTTCATAAATGCCGGAAACACTGTTGAGGGAATAGGAGTGGGGGAAAGGGTGTGCCTCTAGTTGTTTCCCCTGTTGCACAGTGAACATTATGAGGCTTCAGAGTAAAGTTTTTCACATTTACCTATTCATTCAGCAGCACAAAATGGGGGTATATGGGACACAAATTCTGTGTTTGTTATGCTATGGACACAATTCTTGTCTGCTATTAAGCCCTAGCTAATAACAACGTTGGGCCCCCTGATGGCGCAGTGAGTTAAACCACTGAGCTGCTGAACTTGCTGACTGAAAGGCTGGAGGTTCGAATTTGGGGAGCAAGGTGAGCTCCCGCTGTTAGCCCCAGCTTCTGCCAACCTAGCAGTTTGAAAGCATGCAAGTGTGAGTAGATCAATAGGTACCACTCCAGCAGGAAAGTAATGGCACTCTATGCAGTCATGCCGGTTCCATTACCAAGGAGGCATCTACGAACAATGCCGGCTCTTCAGCTTAGAAATGGAGATGAGCACCCCCCCCCCCCAGGAGTTGGACACAACTAGACTTAATGTCAGGGGAAACATTTACTTCACTTAATAACAACATTATTGCACCAGGGCTTTAAAGCGGGCAGTCCTGCATTTCTACAACCTGCAGAATTCTGGGAAATGTAGTTTAGGCCTTTTGAATTCTCCGTCATAGAAGTCCTTGCCTTTCCAAACTACATTTCTGTGAATTCGGCAGGTGACAGAAATGCATGGCTGACCACTTTAAAGCCCTGGTGTGATAACATTGTTAATCTTCTGTTCACCATAGTTGACTTGTGCATCCATAAAGTGAACTTTGATATAGTTTTGTATTTAATTGGTATCAAGATGGCACTTGGTCATGTCTTCAAAGTGTAATTAATTCAAATGGTAGTGTGAATCGGAAAAAATGCAAATTCTAGAGATTATCCTTAAACATTTGTATAAATAAAATACAGTTTTGGTTGTTGATTAAGGGTCCCCGTTTTGTCCTTTTAAAAGGAACCAAATAATTGCTTTTTATTATTAACAACATGGAATTAATTGATGCAGTAGAGAAGAATCAGATCTCAGTGCACTGAAAGATAGAGCTTCATAAGCTATTGTTTTTCTAAAATAGGACTCTCCTTCTGTGTATGATAGAGTATACAGTGAAAGCATAAACAAGTGTAACTGCAGTATTTAAAAACAGTTTTCTTTTTTAACCTTTCAAATTAAACTTTGACTAGAAATGGATAAATGAAATCATCTTCAATTTCATAAATCAGCTGGGTCTAATTCCTTCATTTGCAGATTTTATTAAATTTACTTAATGGTTTCTGAGTAAACAACATAGCTAGGCTAATACGTAGATTTCCGTTATTTTTCTGGATGCTGTTAGATAGTTGGATATAATGATTCAGTCACATTTCGATATGGAAAAATGTATGCCTGTGTGTGCATTTCTGGTTCTTTGTGTGTGTGTGTGTTTATCTATATTTGCTCAACAAAAGTTATGTGTTTTTGAAGTTATTAGTTCACTAGTGCCCCCCTCCCCCCTTTTTATGTGGGTGTTCTTATTTCTCTTTGAGCAAAGGATACTCTGCTATACAAACTATTAAAGCATAGTTTTTCTTTCTGTAACAAAGGACACACCTATTTCTCTAGCCTGTCCTTGATAGTGTTGCTTTCCAAATATAACATTTTGTTCTTTTGAACTCCTTCCAGTAACATTTTATTTAATGGGAATGTTTCCATCTGGTAGATATTGAGAATCTGAAGTTACTTTTACAAACATGTGTGCAGATCAGTGTGATTTCAAAAGTATTTTTCTAAGAAAAATCCTATTCTATGTTGATTCCAGCCAGGAGTTGAAAAATGCATCTTTTAATAAGCATCTTTTGTTTCATTAAGTACACCGTGGAGATTAAAACATAAAAGCAAATATATATCATGTAGGTATTGCCTGGTTTCATGCTTCAGATTTGAGCAGTTAAAAAGAGGATGAATTACTTCTTTGAAAATGAAGACTATGACTGGAATCCTGTTGCGCAATTACAAAAATGAAACAGTCAGATGTGTGTAAGGTAGAGTTACACACTTCTGACTGTTTCATGTTTGTGATCCCTCTATAGTCCGAACTGCAATCAATGGAGGCCTGTTTTCCTATCACTTGTGAAGAAACTGACTGATGGTCCTATCCCTTCTCATTTGAGAGGTCTACATGACTGGCTAATTGGGACAAAATTCAGCCTAAATTGTACAACTGTAGTGTGTTTCATAGACATTTCCAAGCTTTCAGAACTAGTCACCTGTAGAAATTAGATGTCTGTAGTTAGTGTTACTTGAATCCATAATATTTAATAGTGGTCTAATAACATATGTTTATTTTTTAAATTATAGTACTGGATTGGGCTGACCATGTCAGCTATGACAGCATAGTACCAAGCTGATTAAAAATGGGATTGCTTCTGTAGAGTTAATTCTGTTTGTGTGTGTCTTTGTTTTGTATGGTAATATTTTCACAAATTGTAGTTCTGCTGTCCTCTATGTTACAGCTTTGTTATGACTGCTTACAAATAAATAAATCTGTATCAGATTATGTTCTATAAGTATCAATTGAGCTACATAAGCATATTTTGTCATATGGATAAGAATGGTTTACATCTCTACTCATGTAAATATTTCTGTCTTTTTTTTTAGGCAAAACCAAAGTTAATCGAGCCAATTGACTATGAAAATGTAATAGTTCAAAAGAAAACCCAAATACTTAATGATGCCTTGCGGGAGATGCTCCTTTTTCCTTATGATGACTTCCAGGTACATTTTCCTTTTCTAAATTTTTAAGGTATTGGGATTCATGTTTCCAAATGTTGTTTGTTTAAAACTTCAGTCACAGCACTTGCTATAGATTACTTGTATCAGTTGCTATGTTCTTCTTTCTCCAACTTTGAGATTTATATACATTGGCTTTGAACACTCTTATTTTAAAATGATGATTAAAAGATTTGCTTGAAGTGGTTCATACTCTCTATTTTGGTTATCAATAAAACTCGACCAGGAAGGGCATATTGCTCATTCAGTTTCATTTGAATTGCTTCCCTTTTGCTAAGAAAACTTTTAAAGTTTTGCTTCTTGTTTTTTTTAAAAACCTTAAATCAAATAGAACCACAATACCAGATGGACTGATTCCTTTCACCCCTTCCTGCTTGTATACTAGGATTCTACTTATGTCTTCCCTCCTGACTGTCCAAATTGCAAGCAGGCACATACAGTGGGTCTGCTCCCTGAGACTATAGCTGTTGTTTTCCTTTTTTTCCTGCACACATTGGTTATGTTGATTTTTTAAACATAAAACTTAGATTAGTTTCATAGCACATCTGTTTTTCATTGCTAACAACTTTTGATTTTTTATAGATGGAATGGTAGGACAAATCTTTTAATTTTTGTAAGTGAAAGTAAACTGAAACATGTACTACTTACAGTTACATAAATCTGAATGGTTTATTGTACAGTTGTTAGTTAAAATACAAGTTTTTCCCTTCCAAAATGTGCTTTAGTCTGCAATGGCATTACAATACAAGTTATGTGTGCAGTTCTTTAAGACTTTCTAAAGACTATTTTCCCCCCACCCAATCCCATCCCTGGATTTTACCCCCACCCAACCCCATCTCTGGATTTCAAAGAATGGAGCAAATGTTCTGTAAAGTACATAAAGTCAATCTGTATCAACTGGCTTGTTGCATTAATTTCACCTGTTTTTTTTAAATAATATAGTTCTCATGACTTTAGCACAACAATGCTGTCAGTGATATTATGCTGTCATGTATCTAAAATATTTGTCTTATCAACACAAAACTGTAAAATTATTTTAATAATAGAAGATGAGAATGAGGAATGACACATTTTATTGTGGAAGCTTTTTCAGCTATCATAAGGACAGGTAAATGCTTTCTACCATTGTACCAAATAAGCATATAGTATAGCTTTTGTAGGGATATTTCCAGCCCACATGCCAAGTGCAAGACCCATGGGCTGAATCCATCCACCACATCATTTTATGTACCCACGAGACTTTTAATGCCAGGGCAACATAGCTACATTTATATCAGCGGTTCCCAAGCTGTGGTCCATGGACCACCAGTGGTCCTCAAGATCAAAAATATGGTCTACAGCCTCATCATTACTACACCATTGTCTCGAAACCACACAGCAATAAGGGCGAGTGTTCTCGCGAAACCCTCTTATAGTGCCAAGGCAACCAGGATGTCAGGAGGGGAGAGGTTGACTTCCAATGAAAGATTACTACTACCACAATTTAAGGTTGACCAAAAACTGATTTGTAACGCTTTTGGTACTAAAGTTGGAGAGTGGTCCCTGATCAAAGTGGTCCCTGGTCAAGTCGTCCCTGGTTAAAAAAAAAAAAAAAAAAAGGTTGGGAACCACTTATTTATACAGTCTTACAATTACAAATGACCCTCTGGAGGTAACCATAAGGCTGATGTGGTTCTCTTCGAAAATGAGTTTGACACCCCTGTTCTAGACCAGCTAAGAAGCAGGGCACTAATAAAAATTGCACTGTTTAGGCCATTTTAGATTTTATTTTAAAGCCAATATGTTAGAAAAGCATTTTAAAATTCCTGATTGAAATAATAATAGCTTCTGCTGTTTTGAAGATGAGCAACATGGTTACCATTCATTACATATATGGACCTTGTGTTATTACAAAACCAACTGGGTTGAGGGGAAAAGATAAAGAATACGAAGAGATTGTGACTTTTGTCAAACATTGAAAGTTTTCGTACTGAATTTTAATTGATGGGATCAGCACTTTTTTGAAAATGTATTATCTTTAAAAAATATACCCAGTTGTAAAGGAGCTCAGCAATGTTTCTCTGCATGTTTGGATAAGGATATTTTAAGCAGAGCTAGGAAGAAATGTGTTGGGTATCTATTGAAGAAACAGTATTGAATGCAGGAAGCAGGTGTGACTGCAAACAATAGAAAATGTATATATGTATACGCAAAGACAATTAAACATCTTGGAATCTGGGTCATTTCACCAATCCACTGAGACTCCAAATACATTTAGTTCTATCTGAGAGTGCCCGTAGATAGGGTTTTACTTGTTATCTAGTTGTTGTGTCTCATTTGCAGAATTTTGAATGGGGTCCAGATAACATTGGTTCTATTTGTAAATCCCTATTATAGCTCATCAGTCTTTTTTGTCACATAAAATCTAACAAGGAGAGAAAGACGGAGTAGTTTCACCATGCATGTTGATTGATGTCTACAATTATGCTAATAACATTCTGGACCAGAAAAGGTCATATTTATCTGATTTTCTGGCCATAGAGGAAGGAAAGAAGTTTAGCAGAGAACTGAGTTTGAGATCCTGGAATTTTCACTAATCCCTTGTGAAAAATTCTCCACAGCCTAGCATATATGTGAAAATTTTTGAATGCTGACTCCTATGTATGGTTCCTGCCAAATAAAAACAGTTCTGAACTTCAGTTTGACTGAGGACGTTCCCCTAAAATTTATGGAAAGATTAAGAAAGGAGTGAGTCTAATAGATCAAGCATGCACAGGAGAAGAGACAGAACCAGCAAGAGACACTTTTGCTTTGTGGGGAGGGGCGGAATTATTCTAGTGATAGACTTCCGATAAAATTTCTTATAAGAGTGCCTTTAATTTGGATAGGCTGTTAGAATATGTGAAGGGATGAACTGAAACTTACTTCTGCATTTCAGGGGAATCTTTTCATAAAATTTAGGGGAAGGCTCACTATAGTAATGATAGCTTCCTCTCTTCCTTTGTCTTACTCATTTTTGTTCTGCCAACTGCCTCTGCTACCAACATAGTCTTGGAGAAATGTTTTTATTATACCAGAGGTGATCTACCACCCTGTTTTTGGAAGCAATAAAATACGATAAAATACATTATATAGTAAAGTGTGAAGCATCTCACACTTTACTCCCCCACCCATATATGTAGAATTTTACCTCTTTTCTGAAAAATGGCCAGCATGTACCTCATTTTCTGCTTCTACACAATGTGGAAAAATGTGTGAAGGTTTTTTTTTTCCCCTGTGCACTGACTGAAAGAAACTGAAAGTAGATTAATAGGGGGGATTCTTCTGTTTCCTCAAACAAAAGAAAATATGTATGCTGCAGAATGGGAGAACATGGGAAACGTGAGAGCATTGGTTTTAAAACTCAATGTATTAAGGGATTGTGAATATTTTTTGACAAAGTACTGGTTAAGCATCTTTTATCCAGTGTTCAAAAATCTGAACTATTCTAGAATCCAAAATTGCCTACATGTATGGTTGAGATACTGACATCTTTGCTTCCTGATGGTTTAGTGCACAAGCTTCATTTCATGCACAAAATTATTAAAATTATTATGTATAAAATTACTTTCAGAATGTGGGTGGTTTTATATTGACACTTTATTCTGAGGCTGATCAATAGTGTTTAATTCTGGATTGGCCACAGGATTGTTTTTACCACCTACTCCTGGGCCATTGCAGTGAAAGGGGGGGAGGAGTCCTCACTGCCAGCCTCTAGGTTGCATAGGCGGGAAGTAGTCCTGACCATCTTGTAGCACTTGGTCCAAGGCTGCTAGATGCCCACCCTTACTGTCTCCTTTCTGTTCTCCTCATAGAAGTGGCCACTAGCATGACATGGCTGCTGAATATTGCTCGTCAGCTAGAGTGACATTGACTGAGGTGCTAGAGCGATGTTGGAGAGAAGAGAAGGAATTGCCCCTTCCTCTCGCCCTTTCCTTAACCAATTGCACTTATGCCCTGGCCGAAGTCACTCCAGGAGATGATCAACACCAGCCATGTCACACCTGGTGGCTGCTGCTACAGTGAGAAATGGAGGAGGATGGTATGTGCCATTTCAAGTTCCTGACCCACCGAGGTTCACGGAATAGGAGATAGCTATGGAAATAGTTGTGACCAGTTTTGTTGCAGCACCAGCCCAATGGCTTACATGGGCCTAGTTTGTGCTGAAATCTCAAGGAAAATTCGGAGCAACTTGCAAATATTGTCAATGCAATTCAAGGCTTTGTTTAAGTGGCTTTGGCCCATGTTAACTCAAATTAGCACCATGCATCATTCAGATGCCATGGTGCTGATTCCCACCCCTTTTCAGAATAAGGGTCATAGATGTGCCATTTGGGTAAAAGGTGTATATGAAACAAAATAATTTTGGCTTACACGTGGGTCCCATCTATTTCACCATGTATGCATTTGCAAATACAAATATTCTAAAATCTGAAAAAAATCCTAACCACTCCTAGTCTGAAGTATTTTGCATAATGGTCATTCACTTTATATTATTTTAATCAAGTGGCTATTTATTTATCGTGTCATCCGCAACCAGAACATTGTATTACATTTCTAACAGAACAAAACAAACAAACAGATTTAAAAAAAACACAAATTTTGCAAACTTGGTAGCTGATTAAATGTCCTTTGACCAGTATCTGGCCACTTGGAGTGCCTCTGGTGTTGCCGCAAGAAGGTCCTCCATCGTGCATGTGGCAGGGCTCAGGTTGCATTGCAGCAGGTGGTCAGTGGTTTGCTCTTCTCCGCACTCGCATGTCGTGGATTCCACTTTGTAACCCCATTTCTTAAGATTGGCTCTGCATCTCATGGTGCCAGAGCGCAGTCTGTTCAGTGCCTTCCAAGTCGCCCAGTCTTCTGTGTGCCCGGAGGGGAGTCTCTCATCTGGTATCACCCACGGATTGAGGTGCTGGGTTTGAGCCTGCCACTTTTGAACTCTCACTTGCTGAGGTGTTCCAGCGAGT